TTAGCTCGGAGAAACGTCGGCTCGTCGAGGAATTGCAAGCTCCGGCGAGAAGAAATTTTACGCGAAGGCGTGTCATAGTTCAGGGGTACGACGATTTGTAGCAGGCTGATATCGTTGAGATGTTCAAGTTTCAACAGAGGCAACCACTACATACTCACCGTCATCGATGTGTTTAGCAAGTACGCGTGGGCCGTTCCGCTCAAGAGCAAGGATGGAAGCGAGACGACTAACGCTATCGCTGAGATCGTTCGAGACAGCGAAAGATGTCCGAAAAATTTACAAACGGATATAGGGAAAGAATTTTACAATGCAGATGTACAGAATATCTTGAAAAATATCTTGAATGTTAATCACTATTCCATGTATTCGACGTTGAAAGCAACAGTAGTCGAGCGGTTCAATCGTACGCTCAAAAACGACATGTGGAAAATGTTTACACTCAACGGCAACTAGAAGTGGATTGACGAGCTGCCGCGTCTTGTGTCTGATTACAACGCGTACAAGCATCGCACCATCAGCATGCGATCCAGTGACGTAACCTCTGCGATCGCCGAAAAACTCTTGGGCACATTGTACAGTGCGATAAAGATAGCGGGTCCTGCAAAATTCAAAGTAGGTAATTCGATACGCGTGAGCAAACACAAGACGATTTTTAGAGAAGGGTTACGCACCAAACTGGACAACCGAAGTGTTTACGATCGTTAAGGTGCAACCAATCCCGTAACTTATCTACTCGAGGAATATCGTGAAAAATCCGTCGCTGGAGCGTTCTAGGAGCATGAGTTGTATCGCGCTACTCATACGGAAGTGCATCTCGTGGAGAAAGTGTTGCGCAGGAAGGGCGACAAAATGTACGTCAAGTGGCTGTGTGGTCAATGTCACGTGATCAAGGTCACGTGGTCAGAGTCATGTGTAGTCAAGATCACGTGGTCAATGTCAAGTGTGGTAAAAGACACGTGTGGTCAAGATCACGTGGACAAAGTCACGCGTGATCAAGGTCACGTGGTCAGAGTCATGTGTAGTCAAGATCACGTGGTCAACGTCAAGTGTGGTCAAAGGCACGTGGTCAAGTTCACGTGGTCAAGGTCACGTGTGGGTCATGTCAGATCAGGTCAGGTCCTCCCTCGTGGTGGGCCGCCTTGTGGCGAGGGGGCTTTGGGTCCAACTTGGATGCCTTACTACGAGCCCACCGTACCCCGCGTAGATGGGGTACATAGTATGAATGGTGATAGTTGAATGAGGTGCGGTGGAAGTCCGCTGGCGATTCCCCAAGAATCTCTCTAGAGACTAACCAAGGGAGGGATAGTTCCCTTCTGACCGGGGTCGCTGGCAAGTCGAGTACCTGGGCCTCTGTGGGAAGGACCGCTGCCCAATCAGTTCCCATAGGGTTTATGCCAACGCAATAAGGCCCAATTAGCAAAAAAAGGTCCCAATTTTTTATTAAAAGATATGGACTCGATTACGCCAAAATCTTCCTAATGGGACCCAAACAGACCCCATGTAATCTACACCGACCCACTACCCTAACCTTTTTTTTTTTTTTTTACTAGGAGAAATGCCTTTATGCATCCTCTCCTCCCGGGGGGAAGGAGGGGTATGTGGGGCTCGAGGGCATGCCCTCACTACCCACTAAAACTCCTAGGGGGGCCTTCCCAGCGCCAGGATGAAAGGTGAGAGCGGGGATTAGTGGTGACATTTCGTCCCGCTCTCACCGGCGCCAACTGTTCTCTCGGTTTGTAACCGTTGCTCCTTTTGGAGCTCCTTCCCATGCCCGGCAGGTAGGGCCCACCCACTACCTGCCGAGCCCAACTCGATGGGGGGCACACAGTGTGATGGAGGAGCCCCCGCTCCTCCACCACGCCCCCCTTCATCTGGAGGCCTTTGCGTTAGCGCAGGCGACCGATCTCTATGGAGCTACAGGAAGAGGAGGAGTGGCAGCAGCCGCTCTTTCCCTCTCCCTTTCGGCTTCCTCCTTCAACGTCATAACGTCTTCAGCGAAAGAGGTTGCTGCCCGCCAACCCTCTTCGCTCTCCACCATCTTCCTCATCACCGCTGCCAGCGAGAGGTCCTCCCCAATCTTTTCCACTAGGGACAGGCGTTGCACCCTCCAGGCCGGGCACTCCCGGAGGGTATGGTCCGCCGTGTCCCTCGCGTCGTCGCAATGATAGCAGCGATCCGTTGCCTCCCTGCCTATACTGTGCAGGAACGCCGCGAACACCCCGTGGCCCGTGAGCACCTGGGTCAGACGGAACCCGAGGTGACCGTGCCCCCTGCCTATCCATTCTCCGAGGATCGGGCCCACCGCTTCCAGCGTACGTTCGCCGGCGCGACGCCTGCGATCCGCCAGGGATGCCACCCACTCCTCCAGGGCCGCGGCCCTCGCTCTCTCTCTATGGATGCGCATCCTCTGCGGCGTGGGTATACCCCTCGCCTCCCTGCACGCCCGCCGTTTCGCGAACACGTACGCGTAAATGCCCGCCAGCAGCTCCGCGGGCATAACTCCCGCGATGGCGGTTACCGCCCCGAAGGAGACTGTACGGTAAGCGCGAGCGACTCTCGCCGCTATCCTGCGCTGTGGGCCGTGCACCATCCTCCTCAGCTGGGCCGACCCCTTGAGCTCTTCCGCCCAGACCGGTGCCCCGTAGAGGAGGACCGAATGCACGACCGCGACGTACAGCCTCCTCGCCGCGCTTCCGGGGCCTCCCAGGTTCGGCAGCAGACGTGATAACGCTCCCGCCATCTTGTCCACCCTGGGAACCACGTTCTTAAAATGTTGGATAAACCTCCAACCGCCATCCAACTTAAGGCCCAAGTAACTTAGAGTAGAGCCGGTTTCCACCTGCACTCCCGCTACCCTGGTCCTTCCCCGAGGTGGTCTCCCCCCGGAGCGCCCATGGAAAAACATGGTCTCCGTCTTGTGGGGAGCCACCTTCAGACCCAGGCCGGTGATCGCCCTCACCGTTGTCGCTACCGCCGCGTTGGCAGCGGCCACCGCGTCCTCCCAATCATCCCCCGCCGCCAGCACCAGGGTGTCATCGGCGTAACACACCATGGTGCAACGGGGAGGAAGGTGAGATCTGACGACCCTGTTGTACGTCAGGTTCCAAAGGAGTGGTCCGAGGACCGACCCCTGCGGAACCCCGCACCTCAGCTGTGTCCCTCTCACCGTCCCGTTCCCGTCTCTCCATTGGAGCACCCGACCAGACAGGTAGCATCGCACCACCTCCTGTATGTATGTCGGGAGGCCGAATTCCTGCAGTTCCTTCATTATCTGCGGCCAAGGAAGGGAGTTGAAGGCGTTCGAAATGTCTAAAGACACCGCCAGGACAACCCCTCCCTCCTCAACCGCAGCCTCCGTAAATTCCCTGACCTCCATTATGGCATCCATCGTGGACAGTCCCTCCCTGAAACCAAACTGCCTTTTTGACAGCTTGGGTCCTCGGATCTTTAGATGTCGTATGATCCTACCAGCTATTATCCGTTCGAGGGCTTTACCCAGCTCGTCGATCAGGCAGATTGGTCTGAACGAGGAGGGACTGTCCCTCGGTTTGCCATCCTTGTGCAGCAATACTAGGTTGGCTTGCTTCCATTGAGGCGGGAAGTATCCTCCCCGCAGGCAGTCGGTGAAAAGGGTCCCGAGTCGCTCTCCCCAGAAGGCCATGGATCTTCTGAGGATTACCCCCGGGATCCCGTCCGGGCCCGGAGCTTTCGCTATCCCCCCTGCCTTTTTGGCGGTCACGGTCAGCTCCTGCTCAGTGACGGCCCACTTCTCTTTCCACGGGATAGCTCTCTCGGGAGTTCTCTCCTCAAGGGGTGGCCCCCAGGGGAACAGAGCCGCCACCACCTCCCTCAGAAAGTCCGGATCCAGGGCCTCCGTTTCCGGGGGGGCCCATGGCTTGAGCTTGTTGGTTACAAGCTTGTATGGGCGCCCCCATGGATCCCTGTCGAGAGTTTCGAGAAAGTCCGTCCATGCCTTCTCCTTGGCGCTGCGGATCGCGGTCCTCAGTAACCTCTTCTCCGCGCGCAACCTCTCTCTTAGGACCTCAGCCTCGTCCTGCCTGCCTCTCCTCTTGGCTCTGGACAGCCTTCGCCAGGTCCCACCGGCCCGTCTCCTCGCCTCAGCGATTTCTTCGTTCCACCAGTGTAGCGCCTTTTTTCTTACACTGGTGCCTCGGCGTGGCATAGCCACGTCGCATGCCTCCCAGAGACCATTACGCATTGTCTCTATTCTCGTCACGAGATCACCCTCGTCTCGGGCACCACCGCCGGCCCAATCCAGAACGGCCATAGCAGCCTCGAAGAGGTCACCGTCGAGCTTCCTAGCCGCCCATCCACGAGGCCCATTGCGCCTAGTCGCCCACGATCGGCTCCCCCCCCCGGACAGACACACGTCGAAACTTATGTATCGATGATCCGAGAAGGAGAACCCATCTTCCTCGACCCTCCAGTTCCTCACTCTGCGGTAGGCGGCGGGACTGGCGAGGGTAATGTCCACGATGGACTCGCCCCTCCATCCAACGCAGGTGCTAGCGTGGCCAACATTGACCACCACCAGTCCCATGGAGGAGGCCCACTCCTCCAGTGCTAAGCCCCTGGCGTTACGGGTGACCGAACCCCAGAGAGGCGACCAGGCGTTAAAGTCGCCCGCAATGATTACCCGCTGCGAACCGTCACCCGACAACGATCTCCTCAGGTTTTCAAGGAGATCCTCGAAGGAAGCCATGTCCCATCTGGGGGGCGCGTAGCACGAGACGAGCCTCATATCTCCCCAGCCAGCCATCACAAATCCCTCTCCATGGGCCATTTTCTTGAGGGGGGGAGTTTCAACCGAGCCCCTCCAAACCACTGCCGCCGTGCCTCCGCGGTCCCCCAACCAGTGTGGGTGGTCCGGGATCCGGTAGGGCTCGGACACTATGGCGACATCCACGCTCCGCTCCGCCATGGACTGCAGCAGCAGATCCTGCGCCACCGCCGTGTGATTCAAGTTCGCTTGGAGGAACCTATGACCCATTAACTCGATGATTGAGGGCCTCCTCCAAGCCCGAACTCGTCCCTGGCACCGGATCCACCTGCATGGCCGTCTGTTCCCGTTCAATCTGATCCCGGGAAAGCCTTCTCTCTCGAGGTGGCAATTGTTCCGCCCCCGACAACGGAAGCTGAGCGTTCCTCGTCTCCGTTGGTCTAGATGTGGGGCGTCCAGGTCTCTCCTGTTCCGCCTGGTTGCTCACCTTCGCTGGGTTCGCGGCAGCCAACCGCTTCTTGCCACCGCCCGGGCCAATCATGCAGCTCACTGAACCGATCTTGTGGCTCGCGTTTCTTCCTGCCTCCTTACATGTTGGGCATTCCAGCGGGAGGGAACAGGCGTTCGCCCTGTGACCTACCCCGCCGCAGCGGTAGCAGCAGTTGCTGCGGTCCGCCGAGCTTGTGCACTTGGCACCTGTATGACCTGCTCCCAGACACCTGTAACATTGCAGGCCTCGAGGGGGTAGTGCCTCCACCCGGTACGATAACCAGCCGCACCGAATTCTTTTCGAGGCCGTCACTTTCTTCGCTGCCGTCAGCGGGCACTGCGCCCAGACCGTACCCATTCCTCCTGGGGTGTACTTAATTTCGCCCACCTTGACCAGTTCGGCGGAGCATTCGCCGATCCTCGCGATAGCCTGTGCTATATCCCTGGCGGACACGGACTCGTCCAGATCACGAATCCTGAGGTCAGCCTTCTTGTACGGGCGGTTGATGGTTACACCCTCCTTTCCCGCCAAGGCTTCGCTCAGTCTTTCCGCCAGGGAATTGGCCTTGACGCCCTCCTTGTCGCCTACTACCTCAAGGATGAGGGCGCCCGTGAGGGCCCTTCTGGGTCGCAGCTCAGTGATTCCCAACTGTTCCAGGGGGATCTTTTCTCTGGCGGCTCTCATTACCTCCCCGTAGCTCCCAGGCGGGGCCGAAACCACCACCGCCTGGGATCTAGGGACACTGCCTAACTTGTTTGGAGGCTTGTTCCCTCCTCTTCCGCGGGCTTGGTTTTGGCCCTGTGCCGATCGGCCGTCCGCTGTGAGGCTTGTCCCGCCTCATCTTTGGATTTGGCCTTTGTGGTTGCCCTCCTCTTCTTATTGGAGGCAACCAGGGTCCAATCCGATGTGTCTTGTCCCCTGTTTGCCCCTGTCTGCCTGGTGTTGGTGGCTGCCCCCTTCTCGTTGGATGTTCCTGTCGCTCCACTACTCGAAACCCCCAGATCTTTCCTACTACTGCCGGTAGGTGATTCCTTACTCGATGGGAGGGCTGGGCGAAGGGGGAGTACCTCCCCGGGACCCTTTTTATTCACCTTCCCTTTCTTCTTCCTCTTTTGGGCGTCTGGTTTTGACTTGGAAGTATTCCCAGGCCCCACAGTCCCAATCACTGGCGCAGCGTTCCCGTTTTCGGGTGCCTTTTGCCCTGTCAGCCCCAGTTCTCTTAAGACGGCTATAATTACGCCCCTGAGCTCTGAGGCCGTCTGGTTCCCTCGCTCCTCCCGAGTTTGTTGCGGTAAGGGTCTTGGCTCGTTTTCATCCAGTCTCCTAGAGACTCCCTGTAGGGATGGTCTATAAACCGGGGGAAGCATCTCCCCCGTCCCAGAACGAGTCTCGCGGGTGTTGGAGGCGCGTTGTCCATCTATGTTTGTTCTGGCAAGCGTGTCTCCCAGCTCCTCCACCTCCATGGTCGTTTCCGGCTCAGGATCCATGTTATTCTCCGTCTCCGAGTCCGAATCGTAGGTCCTCCTCACCTTAACAGAGGTCCCGCGTGCCGTCCTCTTGGGGGAGTCCAAGAGTGCCGCCGCGCACTGGGTCTTAAGCTTGGCTATTTCCTCGTTTGCCTTCGAAAGGTCCTTCCTCAGTTTGTCATTCCCTTTTTTAAAGTGACGGAGCTCCAACCTTAGCTCGTCAAGGGAGTCTTCCCCCGGAGAAGCGCGGGCCCTCCGGCCAAGCATCATCGACGCCGAACTGATTCTGGCAAGCGCCTCCCTGAGCTGCTTGACCACACCTCCCTGAATATTCTTCGATTTGGAGATCTGGTCTTCGACCTTCTCCATCTGTTTGGCCACAGTATCTTCTAGATCCTCCGTGGTGACGTCTTCTAGTTCCGCCACTGCTTTTTGGCAAGCTATGCGGAACTTTTTTGATCCAAAGTCCGGGAGATCGTCTTCATCCGCTTGCCTCTTCCTGGCCGTTTGGGTCATATGGGAGGTTGCTGTGTTCCTTGAGACACAGGACGCGGTTGACCCTCTTCTCGTCCGTAATCCAGAGGGACCGGGTTGTACTTCTTCATCATCGTCTTCGATGCAGGTGGGTTCGTCCCCTCCGCCTCCCCCTCTCAGACGTAGCGGTAGAACATCTACTTCCTCCGGCAATCCTGCAGGAATCGCGAATCGGCCACCGGTAATCAGTGGCCGCTCCTCACTGGTCTCTCTCGAGGCCATTCTTATAATGGCGGTAGCACCGTCGTCCGTCGAGCCCGCCAACGACCCCACGGATGCTGTCCTATTATTATTTTGCCCATCGTTGGATGACGACGCAGCGAAGACTGGGACGATATCCTCACTGTGCCGGTCCCTGGGGGTCCGAATCCCCTGAGACGGTAAGGTTACTCTCTTATAAGACCTAACCATGCTTGTTATTTAACTGCAGTTTTCTCTGCGGGTGTACGATTTTCCTTCCGGGTGTACGATTTTCCTTTCGAGTTTACTGTTTTCCTTCAGTTTGGCGTAGACTCGCCCACCCCAGGACCCAGACCTCGGAATATGTCCGAGCGGCCCCCGGGGCCGACCCGACCCGATACCCCGGGGAGAGTTTCCCACGGGGAACGCGACGGGCCTACCTCCACCGCTCCGGCCCGGACCGGGAATACTTCCCGGCGGCCCAGAGGCGGTCCGGGCCGATGGACCCTGCCTCGGAAAACGTCCGAGCGGCCCCACCGACCCGTCTCCATCCCGTACCCCATGACTGGGGTACTGTGGGCTCTTGGTAAGGGCACTCAAGGGTGCCCCGCAAGCCTCCTCACCACGACAAGGTGGCCCACGAAGAGGGGGAACCTGACCTGACCTCACACGACTTGACCTGACCTTTTTTTTTTATTTGCGTAGGAGGAGAAAAATCTTCACAGCGCCCTCTCCCGGGGGGACCCGCAAGGGGTACAACCCTCGGGGGGGGGGAAAGACGCCCAGCGGCCCGCACCACTGGGTGTGCCGGATTCGACCGCCCCGTGATCACGAGGATACACCGGAACGGCCGCCTACCGACTAAAAAACTCCCCCTGGTCCAAACAAATTCGACAAGGCATATGTGGGAGCACTCCGGAACCGCCTACTGGCATTACGTCAGGGTGCCCCCAAATGCGCGCGGGATGGCTCTCACCACTGAAGCGCGGGTATTTACACGTCTATTTACACTTGTCCGCTCTCGCACACACGCGCAGCGAGTCCTGCGCGGGTCGCGACCAATCCGCAGTAATTAGTCCAACGCTGTCTACTACCATCGCATCCTCCGCGGGGGGAACACTCCTCGACATAGGGACGGTCGCGGCAGCGGCAACGGTCGCACGCACCAAGCCGTTGTAAGGAGCACAACCGTCTCCGCCAGCCCTGTGTCCAGCCGGCAAGTTCCTCGCTGCACACACAGGGCAATGAGGCGAAGCCCGACAGTCTATCACCTTGTGCCCCTCCTTTCCGCATTGAAAACATCTATTGCTCCTGTCCTCGGCGCTCCTGCAGCGGCGCGCCTGCGGCGACCCTGGTATGTCCCACCGCAAAGCACCGGTAGCACTGGAGCCTCCTCCTGGCCAGCGATATCAGTCGCCCTCGTGACCATCCCACCCGCAGTCCTCCGTCCTTTCGGATCACCTCCGCGCAGGGCTCAGGGCACTGCAGCCAAGCGCTGTTGAGACCTCCCCCTCGGGGTCTCAAAGGTCCAACCCGCACGTCGCTCAGTGGTACTCTTCCTCTCGCCGCGACAGCCTCCTTGATTTCGTCGGCCGTTACGGACTCGTCCAAATCAACGAGACGGAACTCCATTCTCCTAATTGGGCGTATCACCCTCACTTCCTCTCGCTCTTTAAAGAGGGAGCTGAGCCTCTCCACTAGAGAGTCCGCCTTTGTATCGGCGTTCTCTCCCTGGATCTCTATCAGCAGACCGCCGGTCTGCGCACGCCTTAATCTAGTGTCCGCGATACCCAGTTCCTCCAAGGGAACCTTCGACCTAGCCTCACCCATGACCTCCGCGTAAGACGGGCCACCCTCGCTGCACCGTATCACTACAACCGCAGAGCTTCTCTTCCGAGTCCCAGCACGTGCAGTCCTTTTCACAGGAGCCACAGTTTCAGACCCAGACCTGGGACAGACCCGAGGATCCTTCCCCGAAACCGCAGCCCGAGTCCCCCGCGCAGCCATTGCGAAGGACAGACCCTCTTTAACCGTCCCTGCACCACTGGCATTGTCCGTCACCACGTCCGATGCACTCGCGGGCAAACCACTGTCACTATTCGTCCCGCTCTTTCTCTTCTTCCTCTTTCCTCCTTTCCCAACTACCGGCACCCAAGTCTCTCTCTTCTCGAGGCCTGAGGGAGGAGGGCAATCCTGATGGTTCTCTCCCCGTGGAACGTTGGCCTCTACAGAGAGCACAATCTGCTCCGTCCCATTCGCTATTCCCCCTCGCACCGAAGTATCCTCCGTAGCAGTATCCTCCGGTATCGTTCCGGGTACTCCACCCAACGAAGGGTCGCGCGCCAGAGGGACATCCTCACTCGCGTGAGAACTACCCCCACCAACGGAAGAGGCCTGTAGCAGTTGGCCAGACTCCCCACGCTCCTCTCGTCCTTGCGCTCGACAGTCCAGGAGTTCCTTCCTTAAAGTCTCGACCTCTTTGCGAAAACTGTCTCTCTCTTTCTGAATGATCTCCATTCGATTCCTGAGCGCCTTAACTTTGCGCTCGTGGCGGCTCAGACTCGAAGCTTCCTGATCCTCAGCTTTTTGCAATCTCTTCGCCAAATGCCGAATAGCCTGTTTGGTCACCTCGATTCCGAGTTGAATCTGATCACGCAAATAATCAGTCATACTCAGAGAACTCATACTCCGCTTTGCATCAGTCGCTTTTCTCAATACCTTGAAACTTCTCGACACTATCTCATAAGGAGTCCTCCTCGGTAAGGGACGCATAAATATGTCCACTGCAGTCATGATATCCAAGGGCAAAATCACATCGAAATAGCGCTTTTTTAATTCTCCATCGACGTAATCATCATACGAAGCATCAGAATTCGTCGAATCGCTGGATTCGCCACTCGAAGTGTCCACCTCTACCACGTCCACAGCTCGTGGCCCACGCTCCCTAGAGGGACGTGACACAGCTCTTGGGCCGGTCCCTCTGGAACTACCTCTGTTTTCGCCCCTTATAGGCACCGCGGTCTGGCCATCAGGCAAGGAGTCGCCCCTACTCTCTGACTTACCGATAGCCGACGCAGGCATTCTCTCCAAAGCCACCGACAGCTGCTTATGGCACTTCGCCGCTGCTGTTTTTCCCCTAACGGGTGTACCACACACACTCCAGTCAG